CGGGCAAACTTCTACCCAAAAAATTCGTGTTCTGCAGTTCAAAATACATAAAAAACACTTGGGTAACTCCATCTAAATGAAGGAGGCAATTGGGACCCCTCTGGCTACAGGACTAACTAGACTTTGGAGCAAAGCTTGCTCAGACATTGTCGGACGGGGTAAAGTGAATCCTTCTGACGCTACAACGATTGCTATGAGAATTGGTGCCCTCGAAGATACACAAAACAAATTAGTTCTTGTTAAGGTAGTCAAGACTGAGCTGGACGAGAACTAGTTACCCTCACACGGAGAGGCCAGCGGTTCCACGAACTGCCCTCGCACCCGTCTGCCGGCGAATGATCTCTCGACATTCCATCCCCAACGCTATCTAGATGCTCCGTGGAGCGTCCGAGGGGCCGAAGTCGGTAACAGATCGAGGTACGCGGTACGGTGCAGCCACAGTGCCCTATTCACTAAAGTTCGCCGCTTCGAGTGGTTCTAATAACGACTCGAGCACCCCTCAGGACGCACCCAGGGAGACAGATAGCCCTCATGAGTTACCACGTTATGGTCCACCCATAAACACTCGTGACGAGGTTCAACTTACGTACCATGGTAGGGTCCGGGGAATCCCATGCGTCCGACCACGGTCCCCATCGTGGAACCGTTGGCACGGGCGACCTAGAGCAAACAGCATTGTCACGAAGTGGCGCCCGGCGGGAGCAATACGCATCTCGCTTGGGTTCCCTACCACGCGAAAACCCCTTAGCCGACCATATTGTAGCAGATATGGCCGGGTCGTTCCACCCAAGCAATTCTGGTACCTACTTAATAATCGTCCTCATGATTCCCCACAAAACTTTGACCAAATGAATCCAAATGACCATCTAACTCGACATGATGCTCAACGTGGGGCTCGAACATCTTCGATGTCTCCTCCACGAGTCCACGTTCTAGACACTTATTCAATTGACCATAAAGATCATTTTACTCGACAGTTATATCTGTAATAAAATTAACAAAAATTTTAGGATAATTATGTAACCGAACGTTAAAAATGGTGACTGATCGTGGTAACTCGCTTCTGCTCGCTCATGGTTCGAGTAGAGCTGCAGCGAAAGCAGCGTGTTGCCACACAGTGCCACCGGTGCTAGCGGTTCGGCCACGGCCAATCCCGGTGCACAGCTGTGCCAAAGCGTGTAAAATGTGGCGAAGGCCAAAGACACGCCCGCCAGGTGTGCAAATTGCGCCGGGCCACACCCCGCCAGTTATATGGGGTGCCCTCAGTACTCCAAAGCTAAAAACACAAAAACACACACACGACACAAGGGGTGCCCTCAGTACCCCAAAGCTAAAAACACAAAAACACAAAACACAGACACACACACGACACAAAACACTACACAAACACACAGACAGCCCCTCCTACCCACTCCAAACACAACCTCGGGACATACGCTGACATGACTAGAACAACGCAAAACACACAAAAACAAAAACACAACATCTCACCACACGCACACACAGACACGACACCCTCCCAACCGGGCGCGGCGGCCCTGATTGACGCAACAAAGCGTCTTCAGGACTTCTGCGTCCAGCTGACGACCATGGTGTCGAATATGCAAAAATTATTCGACTTCTAATGGCTCGTCGGCCTTCCCAACTCTCCTCGCTGAGAATTTCGTCCTGGAACCTTGACGGGCTCCGGGCCAAAAAAGTGGAACTCGTGGACATTTTGAACCGTGTAAACATAGACGTTATGGCTGTTCAGAAGACCTACCTCAGCGAAGCATCCCGTACTTCCATCCCTGACTATGACTTATACAGCCATGACAGAAACCGTAACGGGGGTGGTGTTGCACTCATAATAAAGAAGTACATCGACCACTATCCGCTGCAGCGGCTCCAAACTCAAAACACAGAGGCCGTGGCGATAGCGGTGAGATCGCTACGGCATGGAGACGTTGCGGTGGTGTCCTGTTACCACCCACCCAGACTACCACTACTTGGCAATGACTTAGACAAAATCTTTTCCTGGCCCCAAACAATTTCCATCGGGGACTTCAACGCGAAGTCCCCCATATGGCACAGCGGGACGACGACCACAAGAGGTCGCGTCTTGCTGAATTACCAAGACAGACACGACGACTTGACGATACTCGGACCGACAGAACCGACACATTACGGACCCGTAGGACGCCCCGACGTCATCGACATTGCCCTCTTAAAATCTATACCATTAAATGTCCAAATATTCACCTAATACGAAGGGTCTTCCACCTACAAGCCAATATTTCTGGATCTGGGGCGAAGACAGAGATATGAAGGCGCCTTCACGAGGAGGTTCACTGACTGAGAGCGCTTCCGAGCCGTAATGCAAGGAAATATCGCGCTCCCAGTCATCGAAACCACACATGACCTGGAGGTGGCAATCCTCTCCCTTGAGACTGACATTAAAAACGCTCAGACTACGACGGAGACTATTGTCCCCCGACTGACAAACCCTCGGGTCACCCTCCCCGATGACATAAAAAACTTAATACGTGACAGACGACGTGCGAAACGGCTTGCTACCCGCACCCGCCTCCCTCGACACAGACATGACTTAAACGTACTTAACAGACGGTGAAGGCGGCTCTGGGTGAACTGGGCCAGGACAACTGGGCTAGGCACCTGGAGTCACTGGATCCATAAGACAACAGCCTCTGAAAAACGCAGATGGCCCTGCGACAGACCACTCGCCGTAAGATTCTTCCTATTCATAGGGGGGTGGTTTACACGAACCAGGAAAAGACCGAGGCTTTCGCCGTCAGCCTGCAACTGCAGTGTAGATTATCTCAGCTGCCCGACGAAGACGAGGAATTCGAGATAATGGCTGAGCGCGCGGCCCGACGCATCGACAGAAAGCCAAACATAATCCCCCCGCAACCCCTGATGAACTAAGACTGACGTTACGCAGACTTAAAAACAGAAAAAAGCCCCCGGACCCGACAATATACATAACACGACACTTAAACGACTACCACACAAGGGCCTCATGGCCCTACTAAACATAACAAACGCGACACTCAGACTAAGACACTTCCCTACCCGCTGGAAAACAGCAAACATAATCCTTATCCCAAAACCCAACAAAGATCACACCATCCCATCCAACTACCGGCCCATTAGCCTGCTCCCGGCTATGAGCAAAGTGGTAGAAAAAATTATCCTAACCCGTCTAAGAACCCACTCCCAAGAACTGCAAGTCATTCCAGACGAGCAGTTCGCCTTCCGACCCAATCACTCCACTGAACTCCAAATCCTTCGCCTTACCGAGCACATCACGGCGGCCTTCAACAGGGGACAGTACACTGGTGCTGTCTTCCTGGACGTCGCAAAGGCCTTCGATACGGTTTGGCATGAAGGCCTACTGATGAAAATGCTCACCAACCAATATCCCATATCCTTTACCAAACTCATAAAATCCTACCTACACCACCGAAAATTCCGCATCCAAATCCAAGATTCCCTTTCCACCACCCGTCCCATGGAGGCCGGTGTCCCCCAGGGCACCGTTCTGTCCCCACACCTATACACCATTTACAACTCCAACATCCCACATCCCCCCATCACCAACATATACTTACTTATACACCGACGACCTCCCTCCATCACTTCCCAATCCGTAGATCCTAAATATTCCGCCTCCCTCCTCCAAAACTCCCTAGACCAACTTGAAACCTGGTGCAACAGGTGGAAAGTCAAAATTAATCCCAACAAAAGTTCGGCTATTTTAACGAAAAATCCCACAAAACCTCGACAGACTGACACTATCCCAGGAACCCATCTTTTGGAATCGACAAACACGATACCTGGGCGTGACGATAGACCAGCGTCTTACTTGGAAACCGCACATCGTGGAGACGGTGACGCGAGCGAAGACCACCAGGGCTAGGCTCTATCCCTTACTCAAAGGTGGAAACACCCTCAGTTTAAGGAACAAGCGAACGCTTGTCAAGGTGGTACTTCAACCGCAGCTAACCTACGCCTCCACGGTGTGGGGTCACGCGGCAAAAAGCCACCTAAAGTCACTACAGGCTGTGGAAAACATAGCCCTCCGCACGGCCACCGACTGACATATTACGAGACTTACAATACACAAACGCTATACAGACATTAAGACAAAACACCGAAAAACGGTTTGACGTAGCCATTAGACATGACAATTCCCTCCTTAGGCAAGCCGTTGACTACGTACCCGACATGACCGATAAACACAAAAGACCCAGACACCAACTTTTTGACCCTGGGTGACCACCCCAACGACATCCCCCTCCTGCCCGCTAACCTTTTTTGCTTCAGAAACCGCCAGGATCAATAAACGAACACGCACACGCACATACGCACACACGCACGCACCCACCCACGCACGCACGCACACACGCACGCGCCCGCACGCCCGCACGCACGCGCGCGCCCACACACACACAAACACACCCACGCACCCACCCACGCATTCACGCACTCACGCGCGCGCACACACATACTCACACACGCACTCACGCGCGCGCACACACACACACACGCACGCATGCGCGCACGCACCCGCGCACGCACGCGCACGCACGCACACGCACTACCCTAGCCAACCATACCACACATAAACATGACACCACCCCCGGGGTTTACACAGACGAGCNGGTCCCTGCTCCCTTAGGAAGCATTTCCGGACCCATGTTCATATGAACTTTTTTTACTTAGTTTTGATCATAGAATCGGCCTGTTCAGGGTTGGCAGCTAATTATGAGACACCCTGTATAATATAAATATATTGATGTCATCTTCTGCTCCTACTGATAATATCATGACATATTATAGAAGCCAGAATAATCTGTAATGCAACCATGTAACCTATAATGGTGACGTCGTCTTAAGGTATACCAATATTGCCAGGGGGCTTGTCAATCGTGAAAAATATCTTACCCGTTTGACAGATGACAGATATCAGTTAAATAAAATATAAATTAAAATTGATAATAATATATAAATATTATAAATTATAAAAATTAAAAACAAACACATGCAAACAGTAAACACCAGTTATTTATTATTGTACATATGATGCCTTAAAAATAATGACGGCTTAAGTTTACTTTGTTTTCAAGATTATTTTGTTTACAATAAGAAATTCATTACTTTAATTTGTACATAGACGTTACTGTGCAAGGTGTACTCTTTTACAAATACAAGAACAGTGATACTCGGATGAAATGTGTTCCTCACCTATTATTTAATATACATACATATTTGTTAAATTGTTATTAGTCAAAGTTGTGGTCCCAATGGGTGTAACAATTTTAACACAGTTCCCTACAGAAAATAGAACTGGACCTCAAACCATAGAAGTATTGTCAAAACGCATTTTGGCTCTAGGGGCAACACAACAGGGTCAATTTCTTGTAGACTGTGATACATATACAAGTATACCTCAGTTGGGTCCACAAAGAACAGTTCATGTTTTACACAACTCAGAGCAACCAGCCACAGTATTTTCACTCCTAGAATCTGGAAACAAAACTATTCCGTTAGCAGCAGATGGACTTTTTGATCTCCTCATGATGAAAATGTCTAGTTTTTATACACCGAAGAAGCAAACAAAAGCTGAATCCAAAGGTCTGAGATATGAAATAGGAGATTTTTGTGTTAAACTTGGTAGTGTTACAGTGAGTAGTAACTTCAAGGGCATTCTAGTGGAAATTGAATATAGACCATGTGTGGTGCCTAAAATGTGTTGGGATTTAATGAAAGAATTTATGCAAGGTTTCTTGGGTGCAGCTGGACCCACAAATCCCCCAACTTATTTACAAAACAGAATGCAAGAAATTTATTCTCCAATAGATACTATTCACCAGTATTTAGAACATTTTACGATGTTCAGAAAATCACCAGGAGGGATGGGATTGAGAACTTAAATACAACTAAAATATTTTTAGTTATAGTATAGTTTTATACAAGGTAAAATCATGTTTGATCCCTTATTTAATGTGAAAAATTAAATATTTTATAGTCTTTTATTAAAAATAATTTTATTTTTTTCCTATACATTTCACATTAAAAGGGTTTGGATTATAAAAAAATAAACACAATATAATAACAGTGAATTTATTAACAAAGGAAAATTACAATAAATATTTCTATCTCATACAAAAAAATCGAATAAAAACAGTCGATAACAGCGAACTATAAAAATGCATGTTACAATATATTCATACTTATCCGTTCTTTATAAAAAATATTGTCAGTGCACTTAACTGATATAATAAAATCTCGCATAATAAATTTGTATCTAATTTTTCCTTAACTAAGACGTTTATTATACGTATAAATATAATAATTACTCATAAATAAATGGACATTTTTATCTGCAGTGGCAATGAAACTACACAATACCGCTGTCAAAATTTACATAGTGGTATCTGATTCTGATAATAAACCGTGTGGTCTGTACTATTTAATGAATTATTTCTAGGTCCACATTCGTATTGAAAAATTTCAAACAAAACTTTGAAATAATAAATTAAAACGAATTGCTCATCCGTAGATCTCCAAAATGGTTACACATAATTTAATAAATGTTCATAATTAACTGATATATACAATAACTGTTTTCTTATTTTACATAGAATTTTAATTTCTCAACATTACTGGGTGAAGTTTGAAAATTGGATTGATAGTATCAAATTAAAATTTAAATAGGTGTAATTATAAGGAAAATTTAATTCTGAGAAAAATTTAGAGAAATGTATCCATCATTTGATTATGAAAAAAAAAATTGAATAAAAATATATTTTGCACATGTATACCTAATATTTGAAGATCTCATGATCAATCTGTATTATTACGCAAATTCCATTTGAAATTTTTTCGTAAAATCGTCCTCTAATTCTCACTCTAAAACATAGGTCTCATGCTTCATTATCAAAATATGAGCACATTAATTTTGATCAACCGCCACTGGTATTACACATTCTTCATCTCGCTAGTGACATTTCTTGCAACATATTTTAATATAAATTAAGGATAATTTCAACATTCATATTTTTAGTGTTATAAGATTGTTGAAAATTTGAAATGTGTCAATGTCAACTTGGGAAAAATCAAAACTAATACCCTGTTTCAATGTATCTATTTTAACCAGGTTTTTAATTGTTTAACTTATTAAATAAACATCTGATATTAAATGTTTATTTATTTTTTATGTTTTTTAAAAGATGCCTTCAAAGATGAAGGGTGTCTAAAAATAAAGTTTGATTTGCTCCTATTTGAGATTTACAATGGAGCATATTTATACCTTTTTGTACTATAAAATAAATAAGCCCACAGAGCTGATTGTGATTTTGTAATGAAATTCTAAGATCTGGTCTCTGATCAACCATTATATTCTTATATTTGTTCTATTTTGTGTAAGTTAATGCGTCTTTGAAAAAAACATTTTTGTCGAGATTTTTGTGTTTCCTCTCATATTTAATGAATAATACGAATAATAACTGTATAGGAAGGGTGGATAATTCAGAACCCATATGTGGTGTGTTCAGAGGAGGAAGAAACGAATAGCTATCTTTGTAAAATCTTACTTCGTATACTCACTAGAAAGCGTATTAGTAGGTACACTAAATTTCATTCAGATATTTGTTACATATTTGGAAAATGAAGCAAATTTTGATTGAAGTAAATTTAGTAATATCGTCTTATTATTTTGATTTCAAGAATATGTGGTAATTCCATATACACAACATATGGGGACACCAATTTAACTGAAGCTGCTAATAAAATCAAAGTAACTATCTAAATACACAGTACCAAATTGCTTCCTTAAAAACTTATAGGTCTTCAGAAATAAAATTATCAATGAAATTTTTTAAGAGACCTTCGTTGGTTTTTAAGAATCAAATATGAGTATTTTTATACTGAGGTATATTCAGCTAATTACTTTCTTTTATACCTCTAATTATGACATCCTGTATATTAAATTAAGAATTTTTATGAGCCCTGCTAAAAGTTTTAGATTAAAAATAGAAACCAAAAATGGAAAACATAAAAAGAGGTACACTCATAATGAATCAAATATCTGATACACAGAAGCAAATAAAAATGGTCAATTATTTTTTCTGAAATATTATCCACCTTTGCTTGATACAGGGTGGCTAATTCCTTAGATAAAATTAAACCAATTTATAACGACTTTCCATCATACAATTTTGCTCCCTCAAAAAGTTATGGGCTTTAAAAAAATTATTTAAAAAAAAAACATATATTAATGAAATTTCGTACTGGGACTTTTCGGGATAGATAAACATAGTCTTATTTCTCACCTAAGTCATAAAGGTCACTATGAATACCTGAGACAGTTTTTCGTTTTTTTGACATGTTCTTTCTGTTGGTAGCGATTTTGAAGAAACTCGAGGTTTTATCAACTTTATTATACAAATGTATATATTTTGTAGGTTATATATCACCTATACTTGCTTCATGTTGCTAAAATACCTCACTTTAGAGACAAATTTATTCCACAGAATCGAATATTTGTGTGTATTCTAAACTAACTAAATGGTATCGTTTCTTAAGCTTATTTTGTGATTTATTTTGTCTCATGGAAACTACATTCAAAGGGTTGCATTAGACGTTGATTTAATAGAGAGTACGTCGGGCCAAATCACAGAAAATATTTTATATAGTTGCAAATTCAATTAAGAGATGAAATTTTATTAAATTAGAATGACCAAAAACTTAGCTGCCCACAGCTGACTACAGTAGAAAATTGAAATCCGCTTTTCTCTGAAACGGTGTAATTTAGTGACATTCAACAAGTATATCTTGTTCTAAACACAAAATGCGTTTTTTCAAAACCACTAGCAAAATAAAATATGGCAAAAAAATTAAATACGGGTATTTTTAAACTCATAGAGGTAAGAATAATAAATCTATATTCATCTTTGACTACCCCAAAACCACATCTATAGTAAATTTCATGGAGATATATAAGTGGTTGATTGGCAGCTCATCAACTTTTAACCCTTTCTACTATAAGAGTATTATATCTATACATTTGCCCAATTGAGTATAAGTGACATGCAATTTTGAAAAAGCATTAATAAAAGTATTACTGCCATAGGTTTATGGTAGTTATTTCATCATTTATACATTATTGAAAATACAAATGTTTTTGTGGTAGGGCAGTTAAAATGAGTAACTTGCTGACACATATGCGAATAAACTGGTCATATTTAGCCGTAAGTAAATGCGGTAATTTGATGTTACAATTCAAATAGAGGCCAATGAGAAACTTTCCACAAAGAGAATTGCAATGGACTTGAAAAAATAATTTCCGAAAGTGATACAGATGCAGAAAATGAAGTATGTACTCACAAGTAGGGAAAGTACGGGGATAGTGAAAGTGAAAACAAAAACAAATGAAATAACCAATAACAGTAGCAAATATTTTAGGAATATCTGAAGAACTTCAATTCTTGAAGATTTTTTTATATAAGAATTTATAAAGAAATAATGGAGGAATGTAACAGAAAACTTTTTTACATATTGCACCTTCTTGAAAAAATATAGATATCTTCTGACATCATGGTTGTCCATTTTTTTTTATTTATCTTTGCTTATGATCACATGCAAAAAATTAGGATGAATATCATGCTACCAATCTGTAGATTCTCTATTATCAACTTCAAATTTTACCGAGTTTATGAAAAGAATGTTTTTTGTCATATTGAAATTTTTACATTTCTGTGGTAATAACAATCGGACAAATAGTAAGCTTTCAAAATAATATACAGGGTGTTTGTAAATAAGAGCAAAATATTTTAGGGGCTAGTTGCCAAAGCTATTTTGTGAAAAAAGTTCATATAAACGTAAGTCGAAATATGCTTCATTTCTGAGATGTGTTTAAATTTAAGTTTTTTATTTATTTTGATTATTTTTTTTTAGTTTTAGACTCGAAATTTGAAAAACGCTTTGGAGGGATAGATGTGCATTTTTTGGGGTGATCTGAATATTTCTACTTGCACCAATAGCATTCGTGCGAGAATGCCACAATCTTTTTTTATAAAAAAAATTGTATCTACGCCATTGACTTTTTCCCATTTTGATATTTTTTTAGAAATCCGCCATCAATTCTAAATGAAATTGGTCTCTTCAATTTTTTTTGTAGGATGCACGGTTTTTGAGGAAAAAAATAAAACATATTTTATTGCAAGATGTATTTTTAAATTCTAAATAAAGTCGAAGTATCAAATTTCGAGCCAATATCTTTAAAACTCTGAAAATTAAAATTAAAAACTGTACCTCGGAAAAGAAGCATATCTTGATCTACATTTATATGAACTTTATTTCACAAAATAACTTTGGCAACCACCCCCTAAAATATTTCGCACTTATTTACAAACATCCTTTATAGCATTGATTATTTGAGGAATAAATATGAATCAGATTTTAACTCAGAGAATACATACTGTAAATCAGATTTGGCACAAAGATGTTCATGTGTGACTGAAATTAATTACTGTTTAGATTTTATAATATACAGTGGGACAAATACCTATTTGGACGTCTTGAAATTCTCATTTCAAATTTGTTTCGACATGAAGGTTCTGTAGGCGACCCTAAATATCATCCCACAAAAACAGTATGCATCTCATGCTTCATTAACAAAATAAGAACATTTAAATTTTCATATATCATATTCTAAAATGGTCGTGTATAGAAAAGGTTAAGGAAGCAAAATTGTATTAAAGACGCTTGATCTAAGTACCCTTGCTACCCTTAAAATATGGCCTATTGGATGCCTTGTACAGGGTGATTCATTAACAATGGGAAAATCGAAAGCTGAAGATACTACACGTGAAATGGTGACCATTGGCGCAAATATGCCTTATCCGAAAGTTGATAGTTTCGGAAATACAAGGTGTTGAAAGTTAAAATTTTAAATAGTTTTTTTGCAATTATTCTGAAAATATTTAGGTTAGGAACTTGAAAATTTGTGAAACTATATTTTTTTAAGCGACGAATAAAGTGCGTGTTGCAATTTCAGCGTTATTCATAGAGGGCGCCACTTACGACCAATTTTACCGAAAATTTAGTTAATAACTTTTTACCCTGTATGTCTAACATGAAACTTGATTCAAAACCTGAAAGAGCAATTATTTTTCCATTAATTATGTATTCTTGTTTCATTTCGGTATCTCGATCCGTTTTCGAGAAAATTCGATTTAATGAACACTATGTTTTGATAATATGAGAAATTAAAAGCGAAACAAACCAAGTGTTTCTTCATGTATTTCCAAAACTATCAACTTTCGGATAAGGCATGTTTGCGCCAATGGTCACCATTTCACGTGTAGTATCTTCAGCTTTCGATTTTCCCATTGTTAATGAATCACCCTGTATAATGGCTTTTTCTGGAAACTAGAAGAACCCAACTCCATAAATGCTAAACTCGACTACAACCAAATACTAAGTAAATTAATTAGAACCAGCTGTAATAGAACCATGTATAATAGATTGTGCCTTGGACATAACCTCTAACGCCCCTTTCGAGATCAAAGTCTGTGCTAATCTCTCTCCTAATTTTCTTGCACTTTCCATCCCTTCGGTAGTTGCATCTTTGTGCGGAACTAACCCACAAAATAATTTTACGTTTCCATTATCAGTAGCAATTAAATTGTCACCAGTAGTTAAATTGTCAATTGCGTTGTCAGTTTGGAAACTTGCTATACTCTCTTTCAAAAATGGGCATTTTGCATAGTTACTAATCAAGCCGCTCACCGGACACTTGTTTAAATCACTAACTAGAATGCCCTCTAAGTATGGACATTTTCCCATAAAATCGGCTCCAATAGGAATTTGAATTGGGCACTGCTCGTGAGGATCTGATGCTAAAATATCGCTTGGTATATCATCGAGCTTTTGCCTTTTTGTGGAAGGTTCTTTTGTCGGAGAAACTGGACATTGGCTGCATTCGTTTAAATTTTCTATGTCTTCGATATATTTATTATTATTATAAGGGCAGGTTGAACACCGCAATCCGTTTTTGACGATTATATTGTCCTCTTCTTTTCCTTCGATTTCTTCCGTGCCATCTAAAGACCAAACTGCACCATTTAAAGTAACTTTAATCTGATTAGATTTTTCAATTCTTAATTTTGAAGAAATTGCTACAGGAGCACTACATCCTCCTCCCAGAGTTTTCAGAAAGCTTCTCTCAGCTGTTACTCTAAGTGCAGTTTGCATATCGTACAGTGGCTCAAGAAGATTGATGATCTCTCCATCGTTTGCTCTACATTCAACGGCTAATGCCCCTTGTCCCACAGCATACAGTAATTCATGAGGCTCTAAAATCTAAAAAAATATCAAAGTGACCAAATATACCTCTAAAAAACTAATGCGGTTTTCAATATATCTGCACTTTCCATTCAGTGCATTGAATATATTTCTATACATATATTCCTCCTGTACTCAACTCAAATAATAATATAAGGGCATATTCTTATGAGAAATTAGTGCAAATAAGTTGAAAACGCTATAAGTAGTGTTCACAAATAAATACATTAATTTTCCAAAGTGTTATGGTCAATTGTGGAATAATCTTCCCATCACTTCTTCTTATCCAAAATTTTTAAATTAGGTGTCATGTGACATTAATTTAAACAAAATTTGTTAGTTCATTACTCACCGACATTTTACATTTATTCAATTGGTTACCACGAAAAAAATTACCTCATATACCTATAAACCTTTTCATATGAGGTTTACTTTTCTAAAATCAGTTCTAATTTTTTGTACATAATCAACTGATTAAATTAAAAAAACATACATATTGTTGAATAAAGAATTAAATTTAAAGATATGGGAAGGAGTGATACTATTGCTAACAGGGTGAAGAGACTGTTTTATAAAATAATGTCTTCCAAAAATAAAAATGGAATGCCCAATAAAAATGCCCCACTCTGAAACTTTCTGTAGCTATTTTAAATGATTCCAATAAGTTTGTATTTAATAGAAATAGAATCATTCTGCAGGGAAAATCGTCCAGATAATATCCCTGTAAGATCGGGTAAAACTTGTTCAGCCTTTATGTAGACTTTTTGAACACAATCCAACTCCAAAACTTTTTGTATCAATGTTAAATAACTCTAGTAGGCTTGTATTTGATGCAAATACACGTATGAAGCTGGCATTTTCCCGAAGAAAATGTTCCAGTTATCAATACATGTGTAATATCGTATGAAACTTGTTTACCGCTGAAAGTATACTTCGCAAAATTGATTGCTTTGCATCCCCTCTTATCTAGCTATGGTAATAGGTTCCACAATGTTTGAATTGGTGGGAATAAAAAAAGATCAAAACCCAAATTTTCTGAAGAAAATGTTCCAGTGATTTATTATATATAAGAAGGAAAAGAAGGAGACATAAAGCCTAGAGCCCAACGCATGAGGGCCCAAACGTAATGTACGAACGAATATTTATGAATATTAAAAGAGTATACATGGACAAAAAAATAGAACGTATATATAGTAAGGTACGCAGTAATGAAGTCGATCGCATTTTTTGATTACTGTGGATGTAAAAACAAAAACGAAAAACGAGTGGTCAGTTGCTGTTCTCATGTAATGGTGCTTTTATGATTCCATGGATACGCATATTATCTAGAATCCATCGCAATATCCTCAGATCATTTTGACATCTTTGAGACACTGAGTGATAACGAGTGCAGTATAAATACAGTGTATTAATTAATTCTGCAATATTTCTACCAGTAATGGTTTTTAAAATTTATTTTATAAGAAACATAAAAGAAAATCTGGAAATATAATGATACTTAACTGCTATTAGAATGAAATAGGTGCAAGAACAGAATCCAGTATTTTTAAGAATCGAGTACATACTTGGTTCTCGAATACTTTTAAAAGTCAAATGATTATCTGAGAACTAATAATCGAGAACCGAATGGCCAATGGAAGACTAAATGTTGAATGATGAACTTTATATTTGTTGGGGTTATATAAAGTTTACTTAAATTTATTATTTTTAAAATAAATTTTCAAAAAAATATATCGTTTCATTATGTTCTTTTATTTCCAATGAATATTTTTAAAATCATAAACAATATGTTTGTAGATATATACAATATATGAAATTCTTTCTGTTTACGAGTCATGTGTTTGTTTAAATGAATGCTATTTGATAACCACCGAGAACTAAATGTATTTATTGATTTAAATTTTTTCGAATATTTTCCGCACTCGAGAATTCACATCTCATATGCCTAAATTTGCCAGGTAGCTTGGTAACTATCGAGAACTAAAAGTATTCGAGTACTTTCGGCAAGTATCCGATAACGAGAACTTTTAAGAAGCCAGTATCACTTAATTTTACATTCAAGATCTTTCATCACAATTTTTTAGTATAACGCAGGGTATTATTCAATGTTCAATAGGGATACCATAAACAAGCGATAAATTAATTAAAGTTCAATGTCCTTTATAAAATGGCTAAGATAAACATGATGAACAGATAAACAGACAATATATAAACAATAATAAATATTAATAGGTAATTGAATTAACTTTTTTTGTTAAAAAATTTGTTCTGTTACATTTAAAATATAATACCTTAGAAATTCTCGTTGTCCACCCTATTCTTTTCAATCCAGCGGCAGCCAAAACAATTGCCTGGTACTTTCCTAAATCATCCAGTTTTTTCAATCGTGTGTTTAGGTTCCCCCGAATATTCTCAACTTTCAAATGAGGGTACTTCTTTGCTATCTGTGCTGTTCGCCTTAAACTAGATGTACCGATAATGCTATTACTAGGTAAGGTTTCCAATGAATATCCACTTAAGTCTTTCTGTAAAACTAAGGCATCTCTTGGATCTTCCCTGTAAAAAGAAATCAATAACAAAAAGCTGAATGTTATAAATTGTAATAATTCACCTTGTAAGGACTGCTCCAATGGCCATTCCTTCTGGCAGTGAGGTAGGAAGATCCTTTAATGAATGAACAACAAAGTCTACACTACCCGTAACTAGTGCAAGTTCTAGTTCTTTAGTAAAAAGAGATTTTTCTCCTATTTTTGGTAAAGGTATATCAAGTACTTTATCGCCTAATGTTATCATCGTTACTAAAATTAAAGGCTTATACATCCAGTATTATGGTAACATTCTCATTGTTAACTTACCTATTTCAAATTCCTTTTCAGGATTTAATTCTTTTAAAAGTGATATCACATGTTTTGTTTGAATTAAGGCAAGCTGTAAGTAAAAAGTATCATTAATTTGCAAGTACATACTCTGAAAATAAATGGCTTACCTCACTTTTTCGTGAACCTACTCGTATTTTATGGTCTCCACTCATATTGTAATACTCAAATATGTATAACCAAAAATGTATTCAATAAATATGCTATATCATTTCCTTTCTATTCCCACCAAGGCTCAAGCTTGTGAACTAGGACAAAATCATAATCATGCTGACAGCCTAGATAGATCCTGATAGCTGACGGCATAAGAGTATTTAGTTAATAGTTACTCTTACTCATATGGCTGACGGTAATGATCATAGACAAAGACGAAGTAATGATAATGAATGACAATGGACAATGACATGACAGTTGTGGCACAGATTTGATAAGTATAAGTTATGTTATGGTTAACTCATCAATTTATGAAATTTCACTCTGGGTTTAACTCTATCTTTGTTATTCTTATGGTTTTGGTGCAAGAGAATGATACGTTTACATCACTACGTCTACAATTAATTTTCGTAAATCCCTATCGTCGATTCGTCGTCAATTTGCGAGGTGTTCTGGTGTTTACCAGAGATATGGTATGGAGTAGTAGGGAGAATGAGCGTCAAGATGCGCAAACTTGTTATTGCTATTCTTGCTAATAAAGGAGGTAGCCATTTTGAAGTCTTTAGATACGAGGGGAGACTGTATTACATTACCAGGTCAGTTCTAAAATTTCTAATTAGAAACGCACATAACTTTACCTTAAATTTTTGAAATGAAATATGAACTAACAAATACGTACTTTTGAAATTTTCAATTACATATGAATTATATTTCATAATTTTCTAGGTACCTATATCTGAATATTTATTATATAATAAAAATTTAAATTTTCATATATGCATTTCATAAAAAATATATTAAATACTATATTACCCAAGAACAACGGCTAGAGTTGTATCATAACTGCATAGGATATTATTATCATATGTATAAATCTGCACACACTCCGACATTGTGCTTATGTTTTACATTGAATTAATTGAATGATACTTTATGTTATAGCTATCTTGTTTTACAGAAGGTTCAACAGAGAATATTAATCACACCAATAATAATATATTTTTGATACGATAAACTTTAACAGATTGCAGTAGGTACTCAATTTATATGAAATAAAAAAAATTTTGTGATGTAGTTCCTAAATATTTTGTATATTAAAATAAAACACTGTATAACGTAACATATTTATTTACTGATGGTTGAAAATAATTATTTAATTTTTTTGTCTTAATGCAGGGCCTTGAATAATCCGTCCTTAATTTCTTTTCGTAAAGACTGAATGGTAAGTTTCCTGTCTACATTTCAGTTTAACATTTTCCGTTGCAACTGTAGAAGGAGATGTACTGCAAAGATATTTTCATTATTAAAGTTATCCATTAAAGTAGGTTTTCATTGCCATAATTCTCATTCTCTTAGCACTACTATCACTACTATTGTTACCATTCGATGTATTCTGAACACTGAAAATAAAATTACTGTGAATATTATTTCTTAATTTATTAGATCCGTATCAAACAATTTTGCAGGGTACGTATTTAACATCCTTAGCATTACTACTATTTTTAAATTACAAATCTTTATTACCTTAAATTCAGTTGTCTCTTCTTTTTACATTGTACCTACTCGAACTTCAGTAATGTTATAGGTCAATGATGAATCACTTGATTGTAACATCAATTTGTTGGTCAAAGCTCCTGTATTAATTGAAATCGATAAAGTACTCTTGCTTAAAATGGAAGAAGATACACCACAAAATAATTTTATGGAAGGTGCAGAGTTGGGTCCTACTATTTTTCTTCCACAAAAGGGGACAAAATCATCCGCTTTAAAGTGTTCAGAGCAAATTACGTTATTTTTTGTCCATACCCAATTTTCTTTTTCGATAGAAAGAACCTTTAGCCACTCCTGTAAAGTTTCATTTCTAGGAAAGCTAGAAATAAAAAAATTACATGTCTACAATAAAAATTTAGAATAAAAAGTGGAAATATCTTATTTTTGAGTACAGCTACCTAAATAATTAGAAATGTTTTGTATTGGATATCTTCTGCAATTTGCGCTTCCTTTCACAGCACAAAGCACAAGACATATTTAAAGTTCAATAAAAACGAAATTTACAAACAAAAACACGAATAACCTCAAAAAATACACCTGCGAATAGGGAAGGGATGGATTAAACATCGATGTTACGAGGTAGTTATCGATGCAAAACAATCGATTTCTTTTGAAAGCGATATATCGAAGGATATCGATATTGTCTCTAGAAATATCGTTTAATATTCAGAACAAATTTTTGGATAAATTTTTACAGTTTTAATCCAATTTAGTTGTCTTCAATTTCAATAGGTACAACAATACAAAACAAATAATAGTCTACGATCTGTGTGATTTTTTTAGTTTGTGGTTTATAGCAAAGAATCGTTTGCGTTAGTTATCTGTAGAAAATTCAAATTGTCTAATTTTGTGATGTTCAATGTTCAGTGTTCAGTGAAAATTCACGAAAAGAATGGCGAGTTGGTACTATGGTACTTGTAAATTTTTTAGATTTCTTTCTTTACTTACTCAATTTTTACAAATAATCAATCCCCTCGCTGATCATTTTGTATTGGTTATGGTAAGTAATATGATGTAAATAGAAAATAATTTTGTTTTGTATGTAACAGACCTCAATCTTTCGAAACCAGTTGGATTCAGATCATAGAAAACAGTTATTGCACTTGTAACTGAACAAATCAAAATGTATTATAAATTTTTTATAATTCGGTACTTATTTAATATATTTTTTAAATATCCTGAATAAAAAAATGTTAAACTAGTCTAGGGTTGTTTTTTTTTCGATATTCGAAAAAAATCGATGTTTTACTCCGATATATCAAGAGTCGATAATAAATTATTTGATAATCGATATAACATAACATCGATGTTTTTCATTAAAACCGCCCATCCCTACCGCGCCGCACGCGCGCGCGCCTTTATTCTATGGCTAGAAATTGGCCTCAATGATTTGGGATCGAGGGGGATTATCCCTCTTTATCCTGCCTCATCTCGTGTAGGCCTGGACAGCCTTCGTAGGTGGGCCCCATCCGTCGTCTACCCCGACCGCAAATGCGGCCGGTGTAGGCGCTTTGTGGGACCTCCTTTTGTCCTGGCTGGGCCCCGCCGGCTAGGGCCCTTTCTTCTGGCGCTCTTCTTGCTTCGCCGGCTCGTCTGTGTAAACCCCGGGGGTAGTGTCATGTTTATGTGTGGTATGGTTGGGTAGGGTAGTGCGGCTATGCAGCCTGGGATGCGCTTTGCTAAGGTGGCCCTTAGGCTAGCGCGGGAGGG